GAAACTATCGTTATGGTCCTTTTCAACCCGGGCCATTCTATGATTCTATGAAGCAGAGAAGGATGGCTATGATAACTGCACTGCTCATATTCTACCCCTGGATGTACAGCTACTCTGCTGCTGAAGATGTGTTTCCTTTTTAAAACCTAGTCCATGATGTATGTGAAAATACAGCGATCCTCTTGATTTATTTTTTTTTCATCGTTCAGAAATATATGCAGATGTGATAGCCTCTGAATAGCAAGGCAGGGTTTTGGCATTATCTGAACTAGGCCCAAGTCAATCATTAAACTGATTGGAGCACCTGTCCTGTGAGGAGAAGCTGAGAGAGCTGGGCCTATTCAGGCTGGAGTACAGGAGGTCCAGGGGGAACACCATCAATGTATACAAATATCTGAAAAGTGAGTGCGGAGGGTGCAGCCAAGCTCTTCAGGAGTGCCTGGTGTGATGACAAGAAGCAGTGAACAAGTAATGAAGAAAAGGATGTTCCATATGTATACCAGGAAGCATTTCTGTGCTCCAGAGGAGATGGGGAGCAGGTACAGGTTGCTCAGAGAAGTTGTGGGGTCTCCTTTTGCAGTGTCTTCAATATCTGGCTGGACATGGGCCTGGGCAGTAGCTCGGGGTGACCCTGCTTGAGCAGAGATTGGACTCTCTGCTCCACATGTTGCTTCCAACTTCAGTAATTCTGTGATTAAACTGAAAGTTGTGCAAAAATATACCATCCTGTGCTCTAGCTGTTAGTTCTCCTGATGTTTGCTTCCTAGCTAACTTTCTCCAATGTATTGCCAGTGAAAAATGATAGGTAGATAAAGAATATGAAATTAAAATGCAAAATACATGAAACTAATTGCTAATTAAAAATATAGACTTTGAGTTTGGTAGACACTGTGCAAGGAGCACACTGAGGGAAAATATTATGTAGTTCAGATAACATATAAGAAGGAAAGCAAAATGTTTTGAATACGCTTTCCACAAGTACGTTATGCACTCAATTCCTGTGGTTTTGTGTTTATAAATTCCATAGCGAAGTTGCTGCAGCAATATAAATAATAAAATAACCTTCTGACACTACTTCACTTCATTTTGTAGGCTCTATCCCTCAGCAAATACTAGCATATGCAGATGCCTTGTCTCATCAAAATGTAAATTGCATCCTGATGTTACATGGTGTGCTGTCACACCTTTTAAAATAAAGAATATCCGTGGAAGGGAGGAACATCAGGAAAAATATGAAGAAAAATTCCAGTAGTCAAATTTGAAGAACATTTCTGAGAGCTGAATGAACAAAAAGTATAAGCATGAAAGGCAGCTCTGCACTGACAAGTGTTGTGAGGGATTCCTCACCTTTGTTTGGGCTCTCTGTAGAAGCAAGTTCATTGCCAAGCAGTTCTCCTTGTGGCTGCCTTCATTTTGAATAGAGTAATGTTCTTTTAGGGTTGTCAGTAAGTAAAAAACTTGCCTGTGGAGGGATGTAGGATCCAGTATTTTGTAAAATACTTCCAAATTTCTATTATTAATAAATGACTTGTAGTTTGATTCTTTTGGGGGCTTTTTTATTGCCTTTCTGGTGGGGTGAGATGAGGGAAGGCACTAAATCTGACAGCTTGCTAGGAACGGGGAGACGCTGTGAGAAGCACTGTTAAGGAGATTATGTTATCTCCCCAGAACAGAGAATGCTGTGGTCAACGGGAAATCAATTTCCGAGGGTGCTACAGTAAATTTGTCTTGTAACTGAAAACTTTCTAATTGCTGCCCCAAGGGAGCAGTAAGCTGAAAACCAAGCAGATGGTTTCTCCTCCTTTTCCCTCCTTTGATTCTGTCTACATTACCTCTGGCTTCCCAGTAACTTTATGCATTAAATATTTGCAAATGCTTAATGCTATCGTAGTTGCTCTCACTTGTACAGTAACTTTGCTGCTGAAAAGCCAGAAGTTATTCTGAAGGTTCTGGGAGACAAAGCCTCTACTCTTAGCTGAAGCATTAGTAATTATTATGAAGGAAAAAAATAAGTTTTATTCCATGCTACACAGCAGAAACAGCAGAAACATTATATATATATATATATATATATATATATATATATACACGTGTATATATACATATATATATACGTATATATATATATACATATATATATATATATATATTTTCCTTCATTGAGAGTTTTGGTACTTATGGCATCTGAAAGCATCCTCGTGCCAATCTTACAGCCTAGTTTTTATCATTTACTGCTTTATTTATGATTTGTGGACAATATTAAACAGAATGAAAAGGCCTGGCATAGATACTACCGAAGTAATGCAGAGATCCATTGTGTTATAAGGGCTTTGGGATGTATCTGGTTGAGATTAAGGGACTGCAAAGGTTAAAATGTATTCACAGTTCTTTGTTTTGAAAGTTTGTCTGGGTGTGAGTGGTAGTCTGTGAAGAAGGAATGGAAAAACATAACAACCTTTGTGTTGTTACAAAGATCTTCTTGTAGTCCAGGTCCAGCTTCAGCGGAGTGCTAGAAGGCTGGCTGGGGCTCGAGGATAAAGATGAGTGGAATAGCAAGTGGAATGTAGTTTTGATTCGGAGCTTCCTGAAAACTTCTCTGTGTTGATACTATGCATCCCTTTGAAACATAGGGAAAAAAAGTTGGCAAGGAAAAGTTCAACTTTCCTGACCATATTTTGCAACTGTATTTTGCTCCAAAAACAAATTTTGGTTTAGTCAGATAATATGCTTATGCATCATTGCCAGCACAGGTAAACATGATCAGATACATAGATCTCTCTGGAAGTAGTGCCTCCTACTTATTTCTATGGAAAATACAACATATACAAAAGCCATGACAGTGCTGTTTGATAGAGCACATTCTTAGCTTCAAAACACTGTTTTTCAACATAGTCACCACCATTAGCTATGCATTTTTGCCTGCAGTGGAGAAGAGCCTGCGTGCTGTGCTTGTAAAAGTCTGCACTAGCAGATGATCCAGTGTCACTGTCATCACCGCTGCAATGCACCACTCACTGCTTCAGCTCACATGCGCTGTTTGGTCTGTATAAACATTCAGCAAGTGTTCGTGAGTGTCAATAGGTGCATTTTTTTCCACGTAGAAAAATTAAATGCCACACCTTTGCTTCATATGCACTTCGTTGTCAGACACCACATTGTCAGACTGCTCCTCTGCTGCCATCTGTCACACAGCAACAAAATGTAGTAGAATTTTGTTGGGAAGGTTCAACTTCTACTGCCATACCACCAACATCTGCTTTTGGTGTCATGGGCCAACATAATAAAATAGGAGGCATTACTTTTGGAGCAGCCCTCACGGGACACCAGTTACTCACAAGCAAACTGCATTGATTACTAAATTATCTGAAATACCTGTCACAAATTATTTGCTAAAAAAAAACCACACTGTATCACACTAGTTACTAATTGTTAGTTTTAGAAGTGTTTAGAACTGTAAATGAGGATAATTATTTTCAACAAGAAATAATAATAACTGTATTATAAAATAGTTGCCTGGTGTTTTAAAATTTCAAAGTGGTAGAACCATATTCATATTTTATCTACAGTGAAAAAAGTTAGGGAAATGCATGGTTGCCTATTACTATTCCATTAGTGTAATTACACTAGATCTGTGGAATGCGTTGAAAATTTATAGAAAAGCTTCTCTAAATATCATAAGCTCTCATAAAGGTTGTGATTGCTAACAGGCATTTGTTTTACTGTAGTAATTGCAGGTTGCAGTCATATACAGGATGTAAATCCTTTTCCTCTTTACAAACCTAAAATCAAAGGATAGACTTTGCAGTATGTAGTGAAAGCCAGATTCTATCCAGTTTATGTACTGTTGTCACTTTAAAGACTGATCCCTCCTCAGCAAAATAGATAAAAAGCAACCCTATAGTTAAGCAGATGATTGCTTGCTTTGTTGATGTGATCATCTGTTTTATTTCTTGAAAACTACTTTTATATCCTTTCACTGGTTAGAAGAAAATGGTTGGCATCTAGCTTTCAGACTGGTGGCTCTGGAACAAACATCCTTAAGCTGAGGATTGAGTGTGCAGGCAGGCAGACTGACCTTATATTTTTTTCTGTTTTTAGCCTAGGGTGATTTCCCAGTTTCAGTTCATTGAAGCAGTGGTGCAATACATAACCACTTGGCAGAGAAGAATGTATTTGTGCATGCATTTTCTCAACAACCAAGCCATAAATTCACCTGTGTTCCTTTTAAGTGCTTGGATGGAATCAAACTAATATTAAACAGGTTTTTGAAATTAAATTTGATGAGTTTGAAAAGCTCCATTTCTCTCATACCTCATATGAGAGTCTGCTTTGAGCAGCTGCTTGGGAGAACAGATCTTCTAAATTGTACTCTTAGATCCTGATGCGCTCTTTGGGTTACTTAGTATTCTGTTTACAAAATGCTCCTCTTAAGTATTTGATGAAGAGCAGTGATTAGGTACAGGAAGTGCTGGCTTTATTCTTTTTTCTTTCAGTTTTATGTATGTTAATGCTCACTTGCAATTTTCATGAAGCTGTTGCATGTGCAATGTGAGGTAAACAGCACAATCCTGTAATAAACCATATGACTGCAATAGAGGTGACTGGGTGTGAGAGAATGGAGTATACATCTTTTTCATCAGCGAAATAAAATTAAGAAGATGGAAGGATTCATGTTGTTCCTAGAAGTGAGGAAACCCTAAATTCTGTTGTTAGTCATGAAAATGTGTTAATGTATTTTGTAGAATGACCCCCCACTCCCCAGTTGGCTGAAAATCTTATTATATGTAGCTTTGTGGTTTGAGCTGCTGTTTTAAAATACTTTCCTGATGCTCTGTGTTATAAAAAAAAAAATGGTGCGCAAACGCAATCAACTTTATTCCTCAACAACAACTGGGCAGCAGGATTTGCGTCATTTTTATTTTTTTCTTTTCTTTTTATATCCGTGGAGTGTGTAAAATGCACCACACTGTGGTGACAGCTTCTTTTCTTTATTTTTGTAGGCTTGACCTGAGGACGGTTTCATCCCGCAAGAATCAGCTAGCGAGATCTGCACAGGCTTCTTCCTAAGGGGAATCATGTCTGAGATTGACTATGAGAAGTTAGCTGAAATAGGTAAATATTTTTTATTATACTTTAAATGGCTTCTGTGTAGAGTCACAGGTGATTTAATAGAGCATCTTGAGTAAGGGAGAGGCTTCACCAGCGTTTTGTAATGCTTCTTGAAGCAATCCAGTATGAGTTACAGCCAATGTAGTCATGTGTACCCTATTAAAGCCATTAGAGTTGAAGGTTAGTTTAATACATGCAGCTTTTATGAATTATTGGTAGATGTTCCCAGTGCAATTCTAAGCTATTGGAATATCACCATCTTCACATATTGTGGCACAAATGGGAGTCATTACTCCAAAAAGACAAGTATTGAATGAGTATAGAGATTGCTGTATTGCATGTTATTTCCAAAGATGTTAGTTGCAATGAGCAATATGGCCGTGGCATTAGAAGGCTCATCATTTTGAAAGATCAGTGTTATGTGGGGCTTTTTTTTCCCTGAGTGTTGGAGGATTCCAGGCTAAATCCCAAAGCAAGATTTTTTTTTTTTCTTTTTTTTTTAATTTTTTTTTTTACTTCCACCTCTGTCTCCTGATCCTCTACTTAGCTCTGATGTCTCCACCACAGCTTTCATCAACAAGCAATTTTCCAGTCAGTTTTGGCAAGCTCTCGGTCAGGTCCTTTGTCGTCTCTTCCAGCCAGGGCTGAACAGCAGCAGCAATGTGCATGGTAACAGATGATCCTTTGCTACGGCTCATGAAGCAGGGCAATAAACTCCTAGCACTGAGTGAGAAAAATAGAGCTCAGATCTCCCTCAGTCTGGAGCACTGACTCTTCTTTTTTATTTGTGTATATTAGGAAATGTCTCTTGAGCTCCTGTCCTCTTGTTCACACATGTGGAAAGGAGGAAAAGAAAAAGAATAAAGCATTATTTTACTAGGTTAGCGTTAACTAGCTTTTCAGTAGTTTGTGACTGCTGCTGGGACTACTCTGGTCCCTGTGAATAACTGCAGTAGAAATGGGCGTATGTGTTTGCTTCCCTAGCTCTTTGCTGCATGTCAAAGCCAGGTAGCTTTTCGGAAGCACGTCTATTACTGTGCATAGTAGAAAATGAATTTTTACAGAAGGGATTGCCCCCAACCTCTCTGCACAAAAAACTGTAGGTAGCATATCTGTTGTTTCCGCCGTTTAATAAAAATGTACATTTCAGTTTTATTAAAACTTGTGAAGTTTCAAGGTATTATACTGAATAGTTCTTGTTTCTTGCTTTTTAACCCCAGGTAGTCACATTTTCTATTTTCTTCTCCCTCTGTTTTTGCTATTTGTTACTTTATGTGGATAAATGCTCAGACATGAAAATTTACTAAACAAAACAGCACTTCTCTTTTTCGGATCTGTAGCATGACTTTAAATATATAAAAATAATTTTAAAAAAAAGTGAAATTTGGGTATGGAGTTATATTTGTATTATTGTTCCTGGCTCGAGGAAATAAAAATCCTTCTCTAAGGTGAAAGAATACATCTCCAGTTAAGGTTAGTGTAGCTCTTTATATATGATATGCTTCTAAAAGGTAGAAAAACACACATTTTGGTGATAATAGATTAATAAATAAATAAATAAAAGATTAACTTTTATGTATATGAGGAGGGCTGATGGTGTATTAATTAAATGCAGATTATTTTTCCAGTGATTAATAGGACTTCTGGTTTGTTTTCTGAGGAGCTTGAATGTGAATTGAAGCATAAAGAAATTAAGAAAAAATGCACTTTGCAGACTATTCTTTTCCTTGAGAAGCCCAGCCATCAGTGGCATTTTTCTTCATTTTGAAAGTTATTTTTGGTACAAATCATATAAATATATCTATTTATATATATTATATAAATATATGTATAATATACAAATTTATTTGTGTAAATAGAAATAAAAATGAAACTATGAAAGTTTCATGGAGCTGCTTATAGAATGGAAAGCTACTGGGAAACCGTGAGTTAAAAGCATTGCAAAACTATTTAGTGAGATTTTTTCTCTAACTCATCCTAGCTACTGGTACTAAATCTGGTTGAAATCGATAGCTAATATATTCTCTCTGCTCTACTATATCTTGGGTGCTGGTCAAGGCATGTAAAATATATAGATGACCAGAATGCAAGAGTTCTTGAAGGACTTAATTTTGAGTGGCACCAATAGTGTTACAGATAAACTTTTTGATTCCCTAGTGTTAGAAGTTTTATAATAAAAGAGGTGGATGATGTACAGGGGGTGCTGCACCCTATCAGAACATTAGTTTTCCTCTTTACATGTATGTTTTCCTCTCATAAGCCATCGAGACATTTGTGTGCCAGTGTGTCAGCATAATTTTATTCCAGTCAGTTTCTAGAAAAAAAACACTTTTGTAGCTCAGCAACACTAAGGGCAGCAATTGTTCCAGAATCTGTTTGTTAGATTGGTACTTTGGTTCTTTCCTTTTTTGTACTGAGCAGTGATTTGAAAAAGCTTTGGGAAAACAAACCAAACCAAGTTCTGAATCAAGACTGAATAACAATGAGCTACTAATTTTAGTGTGGAATAGATTTAACTTGAGAATTTAGTTCAGAACTGAAGAGAAAAGATGTCTATGGATTTCATTGGGTTTTTGAGCTGCTGTTTATATCTTACTTTGGCCTCTAGCTGGTGTATGTAATGGATGGAGATTTGACTGCCTCACCTACTGCAAGTTTTGAACATTGAATTCACATTGCCTTCAAGGAAATTATAGATTTTGATGGAACTAAGATGGAGGTTTATTGGTACTTTAGTACCTCTGTGCAAGGTATCCTCATGCAGGTCTGCATTCAGAGAGTGTTATGGAACAGCTGTCAGTGCACATTAGCATACTGAAACTTTGACTTCCCCATTTGGGCACCCTTGAAGTAAAAGAGGAGATGTAGATGGATAAAGGAAGCAGATTGTGAGAGTGTAAGAAATGACAAGGCAACACTAGCAGTTGTGAATAGCGAGGTCACAGCATGCCAGCTGTCTGGCCGTTGTCAAGATTTTTATGACTATCACAGCAGATACTATTTTTAAGGAAGATGTGAAGGTTGTTTTGAGTTATTAAAGGGTTGTTTTTTCCCATACAGAAAAATGGGGAAGGAGGAAGAAACTGTTTTGAAAATATATCAACTGGTGTTTTTGTCTGAGCTAAAATTTAAGCTTTCAGTAATTAATCAGAAGCAAAAGTTTTTCTTTGTTCATTAGCACTTAAGCATTCTTTCTTGCTTCTTTAGAACTGCAGAAAGATGAAGCAGAAGATACACAGTCAGGACAAGATAAAACATTTACGCCTCCACCACTTGAGGATCCTCAGCTAGATATCAATCATCCCTACTATGATGTTGCAAGACATGGCATCATTCAGTTAGCAGGTATATTTGGACAAAAAGCATAACTTCAACATGCTAAGCCCCTTAACACAGTTTTTCACTGTACTCCTCAAGGTGATGCATTGTGATTGTACTGATGTTTTCAGCCTTCATCCCAAAAAACAGCTGAATAGTCAAATGTGATCCCTTGCTTTTCTAGAGATGACTTATGAGTGAAATGCTTGAACTTAATCTTGTTTTAAAGTATAATATAATCATAATCATAAAAATATACTGTAATTGAAGGCCTAACTGTAGCTGTAACAGAGCTGTACTTTGTTTTGGTGATAAGTTGTTTTGGTTTTTTTTAAACAACCTGAAGTGTTATGAGGCCACACACATCATTTTTCTAGTTTGCTCAGGAAAGGGCATGCAGCTGAAGAGATGCGGGCTAATAAAAGGCAAAAAGGACACTGCTGACAAAAAATTTAACTGCATTTGTCACTTGACTCTGTGTTGTGATATGGAGAGAAACTATGGTTATATAACATATTTGATATATTGACATATTGGTTCATTTGGTGTTCACACTTATTTATATTTACAGCATTTTGGCAATGTAGAACATGCAGACACATGAAATGAAAGCCATACATATGAGGTGTATACATATAAGTATATACTGCATGTTGTTTTACCCACTTGATTTGCTTCTGGCATTAATGCTTTTGTTATTGTAATGTTAACCACAATACTCAACTACAATTAAGTTATACAGTAAGATGTAAACAACGATATTTAATATCATGCATCCTAATGAAGTCTAAAATTGTGTTCTGTTGTACACACTTTTAGCCTAGGTTTTGATTTTTCTGGAAAATGGTGAACTCTGGTTATATGTATTTACCTTCCTGAATTTGATCCATATACAGTATGCCATTCAGGTGAATATAAACTTCAGAAAAACCAGTCCTCAGAAGAGGTTTGATTGAATAGGCTTGTGAAAAACATTGTAAATTACTTCTCATTATAGGATAGTTTTACTCATACTAGTATCTCTTCTTGAAGCTAGCTATACACAGGATAATAATTATATTTTACCTTCATCAAAACTAACTCTGCAGCATAAGATTAAAGTCCATAAACAAGGGAACAACAGATTCACATCCTTGCAACTCAGTAGCTGCTACCTACTAATCCAGTGGGATGTTTCTCACTGAGGCACAAATTTGGGAATGAAGGAAATACTAGTATGAAAGTTAGTAATGAAGTCACTGAAATCAAATTGACAGAGTGTGAAATAGATGTGTTAACAAACACACTTGATGCACCAGTTACTGTAACTGTCCATCTAAGAACCTCTCCCATCTGCTGTATTAGGCATTTCTATATGATTATGTTTTAAAAGAGATCTCTTCAAGACTTTTTTCTCCTGCTATGATACACAAGATTGAATCATGATTTGCCCTATATTTATTTACTTCTTCAACCTTAGTTAAAATGCATGATTATTTAGTAAATGTTTGTTTCTTGTCCTTGCTGTTCATTCACTCAAAGCTGCCCTGGAAGTTAGAAGCACTTGGCATTTGGTTTAGCTAGTGTTAATTCTAAAGGGTCCTTGTGTGATTATTGTGCTTGGAGTAATAACTGTGATTTTTGCAGCTGCCAGATGATGAGCCTAAGCCTGGGTCTATATTTTGAAACAGCTCTTTTCTGTCCCAGTGTGCTGGAGGAAAAGAGGACAAGTTGGCAGTCTTATTGTGCTCAGCCTAAATCACCAATGAGACACACCCTACTGATTTTGAAAAGAAAATAAGTAAAGTTTACTAATTACTATGGCATACAAACTGGTATCTTTGATAGTCTTAGACTTACACTACCATTTGTCTCAGAAGAGCTAAAACAGTGGGAGAACTCAAAATTCGCCACCTCATTCATTTTCTATTTAGACGGTGAAATATACTGGAACAGCAATTTTTAATCTTTTCCAGACTTCTGGTGAAACAGAGTACTCATGGCGGGAACAGAGTGATAATCAGCCTGCCCATTCCCAAACAGTCTCATTTGCTTTCCTTTAATGTGTATTATTCCCTCTCCTTATTCCTGTATTAGAAAACTGGAATGTGCTTCAGTGCAGTCTGGAATGAAAACTACAGTGGTTTTTAGAGACCTTCTGGTAGTGGAAGTGTCCACTGATTCTTTTTGGAACTTGCTCCATACCAGTGTTTGTTTCTAACACAATCAAAACATTAGCTGTATTCTAAATTTGCTGAAGTATTCACAAGATCAGCCTGGGATGAAGTGTTAGTTTATCTATGTTGATTTTCTCCTTACTACTGTAGCCTTTTGTAGGGAAAAAAGGGTCCTCCAGCCTTTGTCTAAGCGTAGAAAAGAGTGACTTCAGCTGCCATTTCAGTCAGAAACATGTGATGGGATTTTGCAAACCTACAGGGCGATTAAAATGTGAAGCACATGCCAGGAACTGTTCTTCAGAATGCGGTATGTGTTCACATTTGAAATATTTCTGATGGTAGAGTGCAAGATGGGAATGTATGAATGCATAACATGGGGAAGGTAAAATACCATCCAAAGATACACTTCACCTCCGCAAAAGGAGACCTCCTTGTCCCCACAGTTAATGAGTGGAATCAGGTTTGGATGCTTTCTGGATTTACATTCAAGGGAGAAAAAGGTGAGCTCTTCAGATCTCCTTCCCATCGTAGAAAAGGTCAAACAATGCTTTTGACATGAGTCACTTTACAATGATTTGTACCTACTTTATAATGCTTTCAGTAATCTCTGTGAATAAGACAAAGTGTAATTTCAGCACTTTGAATGCTTGGTTTAGAGGAATTCTGAAAGCTGCTCCTTCAGGTTTGATTCTGTGATTGAAAGACAATGAGATTATTATTTGAAGTGAAGAAGAAAAAAGAATTTAGGTGAAAATATTTGCAGTGATTTACCCATCTCTTACTATGATCTAATTTCCAACACTTATTTAAAAGAAAAAAAATCTATGATTCCTCTTCACTTCTCATAAATTGACTTCTACATGCTTTCCATAACAATAGCTTTGACTATATGCAAAGATTTCTGCACTGTGCTTATACAGTGTGAAATGCAATCAATTAAATAAAAATAAGAAGCATTTAGAAAAGGTGTGAACTTCAGTTATTTTTTATTAATCACATACTAGTTTATCTCACTAATGGCAATGTACAGCTGGCTACTGGTTAACACATGTAAATGGAAACAAGGCTGCAATGCTTGTTCTTATTATTTCCATTTTGAAGGAGACATTTCAGCCTGTTTTTCTGTTGCCTAAAGAGAAAGTAAACTGGTGTTTGGTTGTGATTATTTTTAACAAAAATAAGGGTCATACAAGCAAATATGATCTTTCTAAGTTGTTTCTATAATATGATTATTGATAACTTTTTGTAGTACCTATTTTGAATATATGTTGATTTAGGAGTCTGACTCCTGTGCTTTTATTAACTGTCAGTTATATCCCTACGAGTTTGATTAAGCTTTCCTTAACAGAAGCAAAGCATCTTATTAATTCTACATTTTCCTTAGCTTTTCATTGTTTTTTTCCCAGTTATATTTAAAGATTTCAGATATATTCAAGGATTTGAAAGATCGGTTATTTGAGAAGTTCTGTCCATGCTCTTCAAGCTCCCATTCATATTCATTTATGATTTCTGACCAGTGCATTAGAAAATGATTAAAATAATGTTATGTCAATCTGACTGTGGAAGAAACAGTGATGATGTAGTTTTTGTGTCTTACTCTCATTATGTAATTCACTACTGTTTCTTCTGAAAGTCACACATCTTTGTAACTTTCAGTCCATCTCAGTGACAGCTTTGCTACTTCCTGCAATACCCCAGGAGCAGACCCTTACACAGGGGTCTGTGTAAATTATAATGCCAAAATAAAGATGAAGGTTTAAAGCTTTTATTCTTGAAAGAAAATAAAATGGACAAAGTAAGTCTTATTTCCAAAAGATATTCCTGAAATCAGGAGCTTTGGTGTTATTTCATAAATTATATCTTCTTGTGAGAAACAGGAAACTGACTGGAGAGACCTAAGACTTACAAGTTTTCAAGGACTGTAGGCAGTTTTCAAGAAGGAAACTGAGGGCTCTGTAAGTTATTTGCAGCTCAAGAGCAGACATTAATGTTGGCTTTGCACTTTAGGAAGCTTTCCTAACCGTTTGACTTGTCATTTTAGAAACATGGGCTCAAATCCTTCAGGTAGGAATTGAATTTGAATTTTTCACTTGCAGACAGTTTTCCTGTTGTTTCTTTCTCCAACTATTTTCTTCAGAATGTAAAATGAAATGAATTGATCCTAATGGCATTTCTTGCTTTTGGATGTCAGGCTGCAAGCAGTAGTGTTACTTTCAAAGGAAGAACGCAATTAATTTCATCGAAGAATATGAAGGAGGTTTCATGTTGAGTCTGAGAAAATACAGAGATTGAGCCAGGCATACCTGAACTTAGTGGTTGACTTCAGGAATGGCTTTATATATTATATATATATATATATATATATATATATTTTTTTTTTTTTTTATATTTTATATAATATATATTTTTAATACTTAGCCGCATTTCAACAAATGTTATATACTTAATGAAGTAAATGTTATATACTTAATTAGAGAAATGTACATGTTTTACTACACCAAAGCAAGCTGTCTCTTCACTTTCAGCTGGTCTGAAGAAAATGTGTTGTGGCAAAGCATTTCTCTTAGCCAAAACTGAGAAGAGAGAGAGTCCATGAAGGAATCTCTGTTGAGTAATCTTTGTTTTCTGAAGGGAAGGTACAAACGTCTTGATGTAGGAAATTGCTGAAATACTCACTTCTTATAATTCCTTCTTTTTAAGAAATCGTGTGAACATATACTTGATTTTAATTACAATTTTTGCACTTTCCAGAACCAGGTGCAGCGCAGGTGCAGTACTCTCACAGAAAGTTGGTACTTAAATTACTGCGTGAACAGGAAGGGAACTGAGTAATGAACGAAAAAGTAAATGGTGTGGAATCAAAACAGGCTGACTCTTGACACATAGAGTTGGTGTCACTCCCGTTACCTACTTGGGGAATCTAATGTCTATGATAGTGGAAGAGCAGCCAGCTCATTATCACAAATTTTGGCCACTTTAAAGTTCAAGTCTTAAAATATCCACTGTAATGTAATGTATTTTCATATGATTGGCCAAGGTAATCAGTGCTAGAAAAGAAGACTTATACCTACATGCAAAGATATTAGCTTCTACTGCTGGTGTTGAGACTCAGCTGTGTTATCAGGGCTGTGTGCTTCTTTATGACTAAGAAGTTTGCCATTATGGATGTGCAGAGACCTACATAGCATTAGTTGTGGGCATATTTACTCATCCAGTGCAAAACACAGAATGTTAGTAATTGCTTTTTTGTAGCCCCTGATTTCTCCAAGTCACGGATAACAGGAGGGACCTTCAAACTTGCTGAGACAGTTTGTCTCAGCATTTAACACAGTGCGAATGAAGTTTAATCTTATTTTCAGTAACTTAAATTCTAAGAAAGAAGCATATGGGAGTGAGTCTTTTCACTGTAGTGGCAAGTCCCTTGGATTTTGACCCAGCTCCTACTCCCATCTCTCAGTGAAACAAAGGCAGAAGTTCCGTTCACTATAGGATCATTCTGTGTTTTCATGTGATAACGACAAGCTTCAGTGAAATAATATATTTATCTTTTATAAAATAGTAACGTTTAGCATCTTAAACTTTAAAAAGTCTTACAAAAATTATAGCATTCAAAATCTCTCATTTGTAAATTGGAATAAGCTGTATCATTAGAAAAAAACTTTTCATTTGCAAGATGCAGTAAGTGCTGTGCCATCCAAATTCTTAATTAAAAAGCAGAAGAATCCATTTTCCCACTTGCTCTTCTTTGTTTCTTACCATAACTTCTTTTTTTTCCCTTGGTACTGCAAAGTTTGATATCAGAAGTGATGTATGAATCATGTCTGCTTCAGAGAAACACACACAAATAATATTCCATCATTTTGTATTTTAATGGGCATAAATCCTGTTCTGGACACTGCACTCCACACGCCCCTCTTTACTCATGAGGTGTAGAGAAGGAGGTTGGCTTGACAGAAATGAGTTTACAGAAGTGACTCAGCAGTGAGCACAGCTGATAATGCTGAGGCTGTCATCATCTTTCTATTTACATACTTTACCTATGAATGTGGCTACTGAGTACCAAGTGAGGCTGTGCCCTTCCACCCATAGGTGAAGGAAATCTCTCAGACTTTTTTTCTTTGCGAGAGAAGGATTTCAGCCAAAGGATTTGCCAGTGTGAAGAAGATGAGAGCATGAACACAGAGAGAATGGGCTGGGGAGTTTAGGTGCCCAAGCAGTTTAGGAACCCAGTCTTTGGGAATGCTTGTGGAACTGCCAGAGCACAAAAGCAGTGTAGAAGAAGAGGAACAGAAGCATAGAACAAGTTGTCATCTGAAGCTGTTGAGTAATGTGGAATAAAATATGTTAATATGAAACTACATTTTTTACCTGAAAGTAAATCACCAAGGAACAAAACTGAAATTGTGTTTTTTGGTATTTTGTTTTGTTTTGGGTTTTTTTTTGCATTGTCTTCTGTAAAGAGAGACATCCTTCAGTTCTGAATTATTTAATTCCAAAGGTAATACAGGTTTTGTGGGTTATATACTTGCTCTATGCTGGTTTAAAATCAACATGCTTCAAGTAATGCTCTTTGTTAAGTGTGTAGATAATTGATACTCCCACCCTTCAAACTACACTTTCACATGTTTGGGCATAACTTATTTCCTCAAAATTTTGGACTTCAGTGTGTTTCAAAGTGTGAAGCAAATGGTCTAGAGCAATGGGAATTTTTCAGGGTGCTCAGTCACAGCCCTTCTGGTAGAGGCCTAGGCAGACCTACTTGACAGATCAGCACTTCATGTGCCATTTAAAAACTTTTATGTTTTTCAAAGAATTATCGATGCCTGTGTAAAAAGAACACCCTCTTTCCTTTTATCAGCTGTCATCATTAATGGGAAGCTGGCACTGCTTTATTTAGCCTTTAGTCGAGCTGAGGTTCGCATTAACCATTTCTGATTGTGGCTGTTGCCCGTACAGCTCTATGGAATTGCAGAACAAGGTTCTGTTCTCCACTCTTCTGGTAGTTTTGGCAAAGCTATTGCACCCCAGTTTTGTGATTATTGGAACTAGAACACTTTACATGTGTTCTAAGTGTATCTGTTTACACTTCTTTTATTTTAGTTATAATTTGTAATTATTAAATATATGTATATATATATATATATTTATATATATATTTATATATACATACATATAAATATATGTAATGTAAATAATTTGTAGTTATTTTATTCTGCCCTTTAAATCAGGCAGTGGAATGTAACCAACAGTAACAATTAGTGACTCATTTAGTAATTTAACTGGAAACGTTATTAGATTTATTTTGCTCATAAAAATGATTGTCTAACAAATAAAATATTCCACAGTGCACTGTAGCACAGCAGTTTTTCCACAAACAAGTCATGATTTAGAGAACAATTTTTTATTAATGCTTTAATTTAATTTTAGTACATTGTTCATATTAATGCCTTTCAAATTATAATGCCTTTATAAGTGCTCTGAGAACATCAAACAAGACACTTTAAATAACTTCAGGAAATGAAATTATTGCCTATTTAAGAACAATATACACACTTACCTGAGTATGTATAGTCATGTTGTTGGGCATAACCTTCCTTTAGTGGCGCTCAAGCACCTTATTTAACATGGGAATCAGAATTTATTATTAATGTGGCAAGGGGGCATCAAACTATGGTGGATGAAAAAGCATGTTCAAGAAAGATAGCAAACATAAGTAGTAAGCCTGAAAGAAATTGAAAAAAAAAGAAACAGCCAGTAGAGAAAACTACCTATTTTGGAAGTAAGAAATACAGGACTAAAGTGATAACTGCCAAAAGTCAAGCTGAGTTAAATCTTTAAAGGTTGTTAAAGTAAATAATAAAAGGTTCTTTGGTTGTATAAAGAAAAAAAAAAGGAGATAAATCATCTGTGAAATCAGAGTGAGGTAGACAATTTAAATGAATACTTCATCGCAGTTTTCAGTAAAGATGATGTTGATACTATTAGAAAACCTGTAAGTCCTATTTTTGATGTTCATCAAAAATCATTAGATAATGCAATTCATTATCTAATTCTTGTCACCCATGCTTAGGAAAGAGGCACTCAGACTGGATCAGTGTAGAAAACAGTGGAATTGGAGAAGGGAGATTTTTAAAAGAGATGGAAGATCTAACATGTTTATAAGCAGTAAAATGCAGGCTGAGAAGTGATTATTGCCTAGAGATTCCATCAGAGTTGTAAACAGTACTGGAGGAGGAGAACTGTTCCACCTGGATCACATCATTGTCACATGAACAAGTTGGTACAGACTTGCTAGCACTTTTAGACCAGAATTGAGGAAAGAAGGTTACACACTGTCATAGCAGTGAGCAGTAGGACCAAGAGCTGGAAAAATTAACTGGTTTTCAAGATGGAGCCTGACAAATCAGGAAGAGTTATGGGTACAGTTCCTGGTGATGACACAGGCTTGGAACTGGTAATGCAGAAGATGTCTCCCAGTCAGCATTCGTAAGTGAAAAGTTATTAGAAGTTAATCTCGTCTCTTCTGTCCCTTTTCCCATATTAAAACAAACAAACAAACAAACAAACAAACAACAGTGTACCATCACGACCTCTGTATACATGTGGGATAGAAACTGAGTAAAGCAAACACAAGAATGTTTTTTTTCTTGTTGTGGAATCTGCCAGGTGAAGGTGCCAATTTTTCCTAAGCAAAACAAAGGGGAGAATTTTTATATAGTTGGAGGCTTTTCATCAAAAATACATGTTTCCAAGCTGGCAAATATTTTCTCATTCAGATGATGTAATTTGATCAGCTTTAGCTTATCGAGTTCATAGAACTGATGTTGATTCAAACAGCTGAAGCTGCTCTACCCTACAGTTTTCATAGAAATGTTCATATGATTCATATGTCGAGTTACCGTGTAAGATCTTTAACTTTCCCCCTTTTACTTGTCTGCTTTTTCATTCCAGTAGTTACCTATATGTTAAGATCTTAACATCTCACAGTCTTCTGTACAGTTACCCTCAATATGATCATCTTCTGAGTGTGGGTTTCCAGATAGTGGAAGTTGGGCATTGGATGGGCACTGGCATCATCACCAGCTTTGTCCTTAGAAGCAGTGGGTGAAAGTGTCATGAGCCAATGAGTGCAATGAACTCAACTGCCCCTGTACGTGCTTTGCTGAAGGGATTAAGGGATGGAATCGTGGTGATCTTCAGGTTATGAAAAGCAAAGGTGTTTGCCCTGTGTCTTGTGTTTTAATGAGATCTGAATGCAGTGGTGCTTTTGGAAAAATATCTAAGAAAGCTTAAGCTGGTAAAATAAAAATCTGACTTCAGTGTTTGACAGAACAGATGTCTAAATTGTTTTGTTGTGGAGCAGCAAATAAGGGATGACAAGTTTAAAAACATTGTTTCTGCAACTACTCCAGAAAGACATGGTTTCTTCCATGGTTAAATTCTGCAGGAGGATTTAGTCATTCCTTATCAGAAGCTGCACACTATCAGCTACACTTTGAATAGGTCTTTCTCAGCTTAATTTGCCTCAGTTGTCCAGCAGTTGCATCATTTTACTGCCATGGTTGCCAAATTTATTTCTGTAGGCAACATGTGATTTGCTTGTGAAGTTTCACAGTGTGTTTTGTGTAAAGATGAGAAATACAAAGATTACCCCAAATACCAGAAAATACAAGCTGCTGCCTCAGATCACTGAGGTCCCACTGCATGAGTAAATGAGTGTTGTATTCACTAACTGTTTTGTTCACTAGGTGATGACAATTCTGGAAGAAAGGTGATTACCTTCAGTTGCTGCCGTATGCCCCCCTCCCACCAGCTCAATCACACCAGATTGCTGGAGTAAGTTTCTCTCAATCTCCTGTGTGGACTGCTTTACATTCACAGAGTCGCATTTATATGTGAACCTCTTTTAGCTTGTTTCCAGATGAATGAGTTTTCAGAGAGGGAGAAGCAGGAGGCAGTGAGTGAAATGGAAAAATGATGTACTTACTAGTGTTAATATTAAGTCAATGAGATGTGGATGAAACTGTCGGTTTCTTCACCTGGAATCTTGACTAGAGAAAGTAATTCACTGTGTACTGAAATTAAATCGGTGTTTTGATTTTATTGACGAATTCTGATATTTTAAAACAAAGAATTTATGATGAAGACCAGTGAAAGAGGAATTCTAGTATTTTAGCGCTGTGTACATATGTTCTCATGAATGACGAGTTTGCCTTAATTTGCTATATTTCATTTCCTTAATCACCTAGCAATAACGTTTTGTTATTTATGTTACTGTTTTTCCTCTTTTATAAGATGACCTACATCAAGTACAATACTATTGTTTAAATCTCTTATATCTCACCTTGTAACAAGCAGTTGATTGTACAAAAATATTGGTTATTTTATTCCTTCAAAGCTCCCTCAATTATTTTTAGAAGTACAGGCTTTCTGTAGGCAATATGCCAAGGAATTTGCATGCTGTAAAATAAAACATGAGGCTCTCTGTATGTCAGAATATATGTTTAGATATATTTATATTTTGATTACACTCTTTTTGAAAGTCTTGAATTACTGTTGATGGTAATTCCATTGTAATACCATTTAATACTCAATTCAGGTATCAAAACAGTATTATGTAAATAGCAATAGCATTCCTTGTCGCAGACTATCTGCAGTCTTAAGGTTTTCAGTATCATAGATGAATAAGTGAATCAGTAAGACTGTGGGAGTACAGCATAGCAGTGAAGTTATGTGCTTTTGTATAGGTGAATAGTCAGTGTGGCCTTGATACTTTCAGGTAGCCACAGCCTAATAAGTGTCACATGAAACTGTCTATTTACTTGAATGAGTGAAGAACGATATCTGGGACTCTGTCACAGAATAATAAGATAACATTGAGAATGACATGAGAAAGTTGAAATCTGACACAGCAAGAGATGAGGCCAGATTGTACTCCTCCATCATTGCTTTATTTGAATCACTGAGCTGTGTAATAGACCATGCAGTGCTCTCAATTGTAGGAGAAAAGGAAAAGTGTCTTACACTATACCACAAAAGAATCAATGCACTGAAATCTGCCTATAAAACATATACTTTTATTTCAAGATGGGATAACTAGTGTAGTTCTTCAAATTACTTTTAAAGGAAATGATCTATAAATGTAGTCCTTGCAAAGCAAACAAAAGAAAGGCAAGTGCATTCAAGAAAACAGTTTAAAGTAACCAGTTGTAATTGGCAGTAATTAGAGTTAATGGATTTTTCCAAGAATTTAAAATCTTTTTATTTGAGAGTAAGAAGATTTATCCCTTATTATTTTGAAAGGTCAAAATGTCTATGTTTATTTGGCTAATTGTTGAAAAAGGCAAGAAAAAAGCAAAATAGAAGTTGCTGCCAGTTAAAATGTATCCTTTAAAATATTTGCTGAGCAGCACAGTCATATATTGTCTTCATCTTTTAGTGATTTGTGAGTACCATTGTTTTTATAACTAAATATGTTCATAATGTGGTGGAATTCCTGGTAACGCTGCCTCTAAAACAAGATGAACTTGTTTGATAAATACATTGAGGAAAGCATGAATCTGCAGTCATGAATGTTCAGTGCAAAACCAGTGCATTTACTTTCTCAGTTACTGCTTTAAAATCCAATACACTGTCTTAAAACTAAAATGGTATCTTTTCAGGTACTTAAAATATACTCTGGAACAGTACGTAGAGAATGATTATACAGTTGTCTACTTTCACTACGGCCTGAAGAGTCTGAATAAACCATCACTGAAATGGTTACAAACAGCCTACAAAGAATTTGACAGGAAGTATGTCTCCAGAATATTCGGTTTGTGTGTGTGTGCAAAATGTCTGTAGCTAATGGTTGAGTTAATTTTACCATTGCAAATTCTTGTAATGACCTCAGTCTGTTGGTTCTCTTATAAATGTCTTCTGTGCACTACTTAGTGTCTTAGGTGCTGAAATGATTATCCAAAGTTATACAAAGACTTGATAGCAAGACGTGAGCCATCATCTTTCTATGCACTATTTAACAAGAAGCTTGTGACACCTTACTAGCCATCATTCTTGATTATCTCACAGGTTTTTTTTTAACCTTAAATCTTCTGAAGGCTAGGTTGTATATGAAATAGGACATCCTAACAGGCAGTTTCTCAAAATACTTGTAATATTCATTTTTTGTTATATGTGAAGTGCAGAAATGACCCCTGTCAGTCCTTTGAAGTAACAATGACTGCTACTGACTTATATTTTGGGTGAGTGGATATGTTGTTAACTAGGCCAGAGCTCCTAGGTAGATAGCTTTTCAATAGAGGAAACTGAGTTCTAAAGTTTATTCTTTGAAAACAAGCACTTGTCAATAGAGCTGGAAGTTCCTGTTGAAATCAGTTAGGCTTTTACTTGTTCACAAGTTATTTTACTTGTTTTCAAGTTGTTTTACTTGTTTTTTGAGTTGGCCAAAAAAGGGCAACAGATCTGGAAGTGGAAGCATTCATAAATGGCTTTTTCCCAAAGTGGAACTGTAGATGTGCCTGTGTGTGCGTGTTGGGGGATGAATCATATGTGCCTGATTTTTCCAATCTGGGAGCTGGATCAAGAAGCAAATCTCCAACAAGACACTGTGAAAGAGGTTAATGTGTATTTCTAGATTAAACTGCAATATAAATACACAAGCATTTAACACATCTGTGTACCAGCCTGCTTTGAAAATGGAAATTCAAATATGCAAAATTTGGTTATCTAGTGCCAGAGCTCAGTCTTTTGAATCTCACCCAATAGCATCCTGTAACTCTAAAACCCACTATGCAAGAAAACAGCAGCCATCCGAGCTGCAGAGATGAGCTGTCATTTGAAGTATCTAAGTGCTTTAATGAGAAATTGATATCGGTTCGGCAACAGATCGAGAAAGCTTATTTTTGCTAGTAGGATTCTGAATATGTTTGCTATAATGCATTTATTGTTTGTGAGACAGGGTAAGGAAGAAAAAATGGCAAAGGATCTCCTATATTTTGTCTTCGGTGAAAGGTTTGAGCTATAATAGTGTTTTTTGCTGTGCTTTGACAGTTCCTGAAAATAAACCACTCTGTGGAATTGGAAGCGTACCCTATCATATTATTTTCCTTCTGAGACAATTCCAAGCCTAATTTACAGCAGCTGTATAGGAAGAGGCAGTTAAGAGGGACTATATCTTCCTCAGTTTTGTTGCCTTCTCTCCTGCATATATCTCAAGAACACAATTACACCAGAAATCTGTTTTCTCCATTTTCACTCTGTCCCAGAATGCGAGAGAAGCAAAGAGGAGCAGATAATCCCAGGTAGCTTTAGAAAGTTGGCAACCTCACACCCATCATTTTATTCACAGCTGAAGTTCATGCATGCAGTCACCGAGAAGCTCACAGCGGTATTTACAGTCCAGCATTTATGTTTAGCTGTACTAGCCAGAGAGAAAAAAAACAAAAACACAACACAAATACAGTACCTTTCAGACCTGTTCCATTTGTGTATTTTGAGGGTGAGAGAAAAGATATAGAGGAAGATTGTAATTAGCTAGTATCATGAAAGGAAATGTTCAACTGGAATAATTTCAAGGTAGTAGTTCTTGGTTTTAAGGTTTATGGCAGAAGTCCAGTGTAGTCGTCTGGGTATTCAGTTGTAGTTCAAGAAAATATGAAGTATGTAAACTTCCACAGAAATGCAGATTTATGCCTTCTACTTTGAGATGCAAAACAGACTTATTTCAGTAAAGCAGCTCAGTTGTGTTGCTTTTTAGTTTTTATCACTGAATTCGAGTTTACAGCAGTGCCTGTTGTGCAGGAGGATAGTTATCTGCTTGTATGTAATACTGGCTATGTAAAAACAGCACAGACATACATGGGCCCGTTCAAAACCCAAAAGGAAAAACTGTTTCAACTATTGAACTATTGTAACTGCTAAGTTTATCCTCTTTTCCCTCTTACAATAACCTGTTACATGAAGGTTTTTCTTGAGAGTTAATGACTATTTTTTTTTTCTTTTTTTTTTTTTTTCCCATAACAATGAATGGTCAGCACTGGGGAGGATTCTACAGCTTTGAAGCAAACTTTGCAAAGCCCTAAGCAACAGTTTATGTATAGAATAGAAAGAGATACTTGATTGTGGGTTTTCTCAGTTTCATTTTGCAGTAAGGTTGAGTAAGATCAACATGTTCCTGTGGTGCCTAGTTTCCATTTCAGTTTTAGCCTGCTAGAATCTATTGTTTATGTACCATTATATGACAACGTGGAATCAAGCAGTGCTGTAATGGAGAATGTTTTTGTTTTAAACAAAGAGGACCATCTGATATAAAACAATGCATAATTGGCTTCAACTTTAGTAATGACTACAAAAACAAGATAAAAGTAGCGAGAAAGAAGATTAGGTCTAAATTTTACAGCTGAAAATATATAAATTTCCTCCTGTATGAAGCTCTTTTATGGAGAAAATAAAGAGAAATGGAGGGAATCCATTTTTAAGACTTCCTTCTCCCCTCAGTTCTTTTTCAGGTTGCTTCATCTCATAATTTTCCCCCTACCCTCCAGATATTAAGCCCTTAAGACAGAAGACTTCGGTGAGGATTAAAATAGTTATCTTGGAATACTGTTGTATCATCAAAAGTAACCTTTTTTTTTTTTTAATAAAAAAGTCATTTTATGTTGAATTTCTCCTGAATTAAGCCTTTTTAATGTACTTGAATAAAACACTGTATGATATTCCTGTAATAATACCTTCCATTCAGTTGTACCTCCTCATTTCTACAGTCTATGATATTCAAAAATTTTCTTAACAATTTCTTTTTTTTTTTCTTAGGTATAAGAAAAACCTCAAAGCACTCTATGTTGTACATCCAACCAACTTCATAAAAATTCTGTGGAATATTTTTAAACCTCTTATAAGGTACTTGGCAATTTTCCTGTCTAGTTTAAAGATGATTTGTTCTCTTACAGGTTGCTTTTAAAAAGCTTGAGGTAAAATATATCAAGTAACAGCACAACACCCATTTAAACTGGCTTGAACTAATACGAAAGATGAGCTTAAGCTTGAGTATGTGTAACAGGGTAGAGGGTATTTTCTTTCTAAGATTATGAAGTCTTAATTAATAAAGGGTTCAGTGGTGTGTTGAAGTAAATAGTCCTTCAAAACATAGTTATTCTGTGGGCATGAATGACTTTTTTGTTCTGTTTAACAGCACTTAGCACGAAAAAAACTAAGTCCATGGCTGGAGTTTCTAGGTGGTATGGTAAAGCAGGTAATAAATGGCTAACCTTTGGTCTGATCTCAAGTGCTGAGATGAATTGGACTGATAATACTAGTGTGTTCAAAGTTAATGAATAAGCCCTGAAGTGCTCATAAGAATTTGAGATAGACAGTATAATGGTGGGTATATTTTACCAGTGGATTCTTTTCCTTTTCACTGTAAAAATTAATGGTAGCTACAAGGAACCAGCAATGATGGATGGATTCTGACAAGCACTCAGTTGGTTGGACTTTAAGTTTTTGCTCCTGAACTTCTGCCGCTTTCAAAGTAATTCCAACATGTTGCAGATTATGAATGTCCTTAGAGTTGAAAGAATAAAACAACTTATCCCTAGAAGCCATAGTGAATCAGCTCCTAATGTACGTTATGCTAACTTGCACTTTCTGACTGGGTAGCAAATTAATTAATTGTAAAGGTTAACTTTTAGACAGGTCAGAACATGGAAGAAGCATGTGAAATTTTAAAAAAATGCAGCTAGAACTCATTCTGTAATACATCATTCATGAAATGTCAGTAATCCAGGACACAGACCAGTGGTGACAAAATTGTGACAGAAGCAGGAGGTGCAGTAGCTGATTCAACTTCAGGAACTGTATGGATATTTTTTATTCCTGATTTGCTGTAGGATGGCTATGAGGAGTTATCCAAAAGGTTTTGGAAAAACAAACAAAATAGAAATAAAAATAAAAACAAACAAACAACAACAATAAAAAACAGGAACACAACGAACAAGTAGTCATGATTTGTTCTAAGATGGCTCAGGCACAGCCATCTTCTTTCTAAGAGGCAGTTGAGAATGATTTGTGGGGTGCTGAGAAGTCAGCTTCAGGCCAAGTTGTTAAGCCAGGCATTGTGTGGCTAAAGGAAGAAGTAGAATAGTGAAGGACAGCTATTGCCTGGGAGTATTCAGCTGCTGATCACACTGTGGTGTGGAATCAGTGCTGGCTCCAGGGTTTGAATGTATTTATAACCCTCCTTGCACTTCAAATTTTCAGTGTCCCTTTGGTCTTAATGCTCTCAATGGGGCTACAGATGGATAAACACTGCTGCTAATTCTTGAAAAAAGTACATATACATGGTTATCTCTTCAAGCATTCATTTTCCCTGGATCTTATGATGTTTCATAGATAAGATAAATACCTTTTTCTTTCTTGGAACACTATTATTACTATTAAATGCTGGCATTTAAATCGTTATTTACTTTGGATGTAGAAATGGGTGCTCCTGATAAATTTAAGCATTCATATCCAGCACAGAAAATTGAAACCAGCATTTGTCATCTTAGATACACGATCATCTTGTCCTTCTTAATGCCCTGTTTTCATAGCAATGAGCAATTCATGTTGTGCTTGACTTTTAGTACTGCTTACCTGGATACTTGTTTTGAGTCTAATCTGATAGCACTCTGCTCCTTGTTAAAAAGAAAAAGAAAAAAAAAAAAAGTGACCAACAGAAACAAATTGATACACTGGTAATAATAATAATAGCAATGATTATAATACTATTTATTATGACAAAATAATTGAAGGAATGAATTAACTCTGAAAAGTCAATTATGCAGAATTCTTTGTAAGCCCATGGCTTATGTATGATGTTGAAATCAGAGACCAGAAAAAAAAAAAAAAAAGACTTGGAAAAAGGACAAGCTGAAAAATCTGAAGTTCTGCACAGTGGGCTAATGTCTATCAGTAATAAAACTGATAAGACTGACTCGTCTGATGGCAAAATTTTGCACTTTCCACTTGAGAGCTTCTAAAATGCCCAAGTGACTTGCATTTGTGTCATCGCCCACTAGAGGGAGCGTGCGTATGCGTGTTTGACAATTCAGTGATAAATTCATTACTGCGAGAGAATTTTTCTCTAGTTCAGATATCAAAGTAACATGCAGCGAGGCACAGTTTTCATCATGAACACCTACTGCTTGTATTGACAATTCATTACAGGACAGACACTTTGTATCCCAGAAAAATATGAAATTATTTTGGACTGTACGTAACTGAAACTCAAAACCTAACTTGCCTTCCTTCTCGCACCAAATTTGGAAAATCTGTTTTGTTCAGCTCATCAAGAGAGCTTTATTGTTCAGAAGCTATCCAGCTCTTTTCAAAACAGATAAATCTGATGGCCCTGCACTTCAAGGATGTACATTATCCGTTCTTTGAAAATCTTGCCTGTCATTTAATGCTTAATGGTTTGTGTCTGTAGTCCCATTATTTCATGTCTTGGTAGGAACAAATATCTAAATAACACAACCGTTGTGTTGGGCATGCAACATTTTCTCCAGAGTTAACAATTATTTTAGTGAGCTTTCTAATGCTGTGTGAAAGCTGTTTTTCAGTGGCTTTTAAAGCAGTGTTTTTCATATCTATGCAAATCAAAAAACATTCAGACGAAAGTCAGTTATTTTTATTCAAATCAGACTCTCAGGCATGCACTGTATATGTTTGATCATACAAAATGAAATACATCTCATGTCTCCTGCTGCTTCAATTACAGTCTAATTTTGAGTTGCATCAGCACTTACATTTTTGTAATGGAAACTAAAGCCTTCATAAATGCTTCTCCCATGCTGATTTTTGTACTTTTTTTCTTTCCAATTTTTTTTTAGCCATAAGTTTGGGAAAAAAGTCACCTACTTGAACTATTTAAGTGACCTGAGAGAACATCTCAAATATGACCAGCTTAATATTCCTCAAGAAGTCATCCGGTACGTGTCAAGTTTCAAATACTTTGTCTCACATTTTTTCAGGTACACTTGTGTTACATTCACTGTATTCCAAGCAGAATCTAATCCTATTTCTTCAGTGACTGAAAGTTTAATTTACCTTCTGTGCTAGATTGGATCTAATTCTGAAATCTGCATTGTCATGTAAGACGTGCTAGGGTGTGTCACATGTGTACACAGGAGAACCCTATGTAGTTTTCTACAGGTCTGAAACCTCTACATTTCAGTTGTGGAGCATTTTCTTCATATAATTGCAGCCTCAATGTGAGCGTTAACAAAGTCCATGTGTTGCTACTACTTATGGGTACTGCATAATATCATCAGCAAAAATACAATCCTGACCTCTTTGCTTGCATATTGTAATGGATCAGGTGACTTCCATTTATGAAAAGCTATCACAGTCAGCAAAGAGTTAATTGATTTTGAATTTTATGGATATGTCTATTGTTAGCAGATCAATTACTTTAACGTGATGCTTGTGTGTGTGCTACGGAGGAGTAATGGAGAGGGAAAGATTAAGAAGTACATCGGGCTGGGATTATCAAGTGCCAATATTAGTATCAATAACAGTCTTTTCAACACTACTCTTTACATGGAAATGCCTTGATATACTGACAGGAAATGATTTTATGTCACTGCTGAATGAAAGTAACTGGAAGCTTTGATTATGACTGTTACTGACACCAGGTGGGTTTTTACACATCTTCTGAGTAAATAGGGAATAACTGAAAATACCTTAGAGCTCTGAGGTTATAAATTAGATTGCAAGGTTGCAAAAGAGAGGAGATTTGTATTCTGAGTAGCAAAGAGGCTTGAATTTTCTTTTAAATTATAGAGTGTTCCTATTTTTGGACACATTTATTCCTCTACTCCATTGGCTACAGCAAAAAATAAAAATAAAGAAAGCTCTTTTTTGTCTTGCTTAAGAATTCTTTAGCAAATATCTCCTAAAAATTTCCCTATTGCTTAAATTATAGTAAATGTAAATTCTGTAAGACCCACAGCATATACACTGTTGTCAGGTGATCAGCATCAACACTGGTAGCTGCTGTTCATATATGTAACTTGTCAGCTGTGATGCATAGAAAATCAGTGACTTTTTGATTTTTACAGACATGATGAAAATCTTCGGGGGAAACACAAGGGAAAACTGCCACCTGTGGTCAAGGTTCCTCCACCAAGACCACCTCTACCTACCCAGCAATTTGGAGTCAGCCTGCAATAGTAAGCTATGAGATTTCTGAAAAAGAAGATTTCTGTATCCTGCAGCTTTCTGTAATATGCAGGTTCACTAGACACAAAGTCTGCAGACATTTTTTTTTTTAGTATATGTTTAGTTTCTCATTCCCTTTGAAAGCCATAAATCTACGGGGTTAGGCAGTAATATTTATCAATTTGGGACAGGTCTTACAATCCCTCTGCCTGGTCTTCATGCTTATAGTATCTTTGGGGTAGTTAGTGCTACTACTGCTGCACAATTTTTCTCTCCATGGACAGAAATTTGCCCATAAATGACAGTCCCAAGCTCACCTGTTGCTGGTGGTTGCTGGCAGATAGGAAAATGTTTTGGAGTTACTGATAGATAACTTGTGGATAGCAAAGCTTCAGAGTCAAAAATGGCTGCAAAAATCTAAAATGGATGTTTTAGCCTTTATAAATTGATAAGTTGTTGCTTTGTTGCCCAAGTATTGTTCTTATCAGAGCTCTATGAAATGAATACAATCACTCTTATAGAAGGGCCCTCACAGCTGTTTATGTAAATTACAGCACAGTATCTGGTATAAAAAAAAATGATTTACTTAACACAAGGAATGGGATAGCAATATACTTTCAGAAGGCGATTTTGCTAAAAACAGCTAGAACAAAACACAGAAGCAAACAAAACCAAGAAAGCAAAGAAATGTAGACACCTGAAAAGTAACATCAGCAGTGAAAACTGCAAAATCTTCTTCTAGCTTCCAACTAAGTAATTTCTGTCAAAGACATGGAAAGCTATCTTGCCATGGCTTCTTCTTCAAGAGCAGCTGGCAAATGTTCACATTCAAAAAAACCAATTTATTCTGTCTGATCCATGGACGTTTGGGTTTCCTCCCACCCCCAAGTCTGCTTATCTGGTGCTAATGATTCAGCTATAAATGAGATATAAAATACAATTTTCCTCTGCTAAATGTTAAACATTAGTCCTCTGTGGAAGGCCTGATATTAGAACAATCAGTATCTATCGTATAAGAGCTGCTATGGCATTAACTTTTATTATACCTTTTTAGAATCCAGCGTAACACTTGAGACATGAGTAAGTCACTTCCTTAATTCAGAAGATATCTTTTAGGTAGACTCCATTGGGTCATTAAGAAGGGCAATGTTTTATGCTGCTGCTCCTGTTGTAAAAGTGGGACTGCTTACTGGCATCAGGGCATGCAGTTTCTTGCTTCCAGTCCATCCTGGAATTCCAATAAGTTCTATCTAAGCTCTCACAGGAGACAATGTCTCACATGCCTCAGCATTCCTGAATATAAAAAGGATGACAATCCTCTATGACTTCAAAATAAGAAATAAATGAATTAATATATGCCATATTTATGAAGAAGGTAAAGCTAATGGAGGAAAGAGAATGATATGTGTTGAGAGCTTCTAAAATCTGAACCAGAAAAAAAGTATTCTCTTGGTGAATCAATTGCTTTTACTTGTTCCCTCTCCTTCTATGAGTTCTATAGTCTGCAATGGCAAAATTTCTGTGATCTCCCATGTATTTAGCAAAGATACAGGTTTGAAGCCTTCTCCTAGGTGAGGCTCTTTCTGTTTGCTGAAAAGGATGCAGAATGACCCAGATTTTATTTTGTATGGGTTTATGGGAATATGTGTGCTGTGTGCCATGTGTTTCAGTACTGTCAAGTGGAAACAGTATTATCAGTGATGCTATTGAGAGAAAGTTATTGCCATTAAAGGACTATTTCTAGCAGACTTCTTTTTCTGTAATGTAAGAAAAGAAATATTAAGACTCATAAGCCTGAAGTTTCATTTGTTTCAGCACCTTTGGAATGATGATCTTTAATTAGGCAGTTAAAAGATGGTGAGTGAGATTATCCAAAGCCTCCTAGATAGCCTAATTTTGATCAGATGTTAGACAATGATATCCCAATGACTTCTGGATATGGAAAGTAGAAAAACCCATATCTTTTTGAATGTTCTTCTGTAAAAAATCAGGCAATGCTGTTGTCTGGACCACAGTTAGCAGCCACCATGTTACTCATGAAGAGTATAGGTAGAAAGAATTTTTAGTCATTCCAATCATGTGTGTATGAAAACTTTATAGCGGCACACTCGTAGGCGTTTAATTTGTGTCTCATAATTTCAGATAGCTACTGCAGACATTTTCAGGGTGTTTCAAAAATTTGTGTGTACTAGTTTTTATGTACTTTGGTTATTACAGGTGTAGAATAATAGAGGGAGCTTTAGAAATTATAGTTTATTTAAAAGAGCTTTTCTGTGAGTCAAGGTGCTGCTGTTGTATGGTGCAGTGAAATAAATGAAGCTAAAGAGGAGCTCGGAATCATGTGCAGAGAGGAGTTTGAGCAGTCAAATCACTGTTTTTACTGCTTGAGGCATACACAATGCTCTTTCTGTAGGCACAGATCAAACACATGCTATAGATGCAGAAAGGAAGATAGATTACATAGTTACCTGCCTGTGGTCCCAATTTTCCAAATGCCTATTAACAGAAACCTGTGAAGGAACCCAGGATCTTGTGCAGGAGTGGACTTAATGAGAACAACTATTTTTAAAGGGAAATGTTTGTTATGATTGATGCCACTGATTCTCTGAAACCTAGAAGTATTCCTACATGGTATGTTTGAATCTTACCTAGGAGAGCAAGACAGTAAAGATATGAGAGAGATTCAGTAGATCAGGGATCTGTTCTGGGCTGAGTCACAGAAATTTGTTATCCCATGCCAGCTGTTCACACTGTGATTCAGCAAAGATCTTAACCCAATTTTATTTCAACTTAGATCTTTGGAATTTAAGTGTGTAACTTGTTGCTCAGAGACATGAATTTGAAGCCTGTATCATTGTGAGCTCCTATGAGGACACTGTTGTTTGGTCTTCACAATTGGAACTTGAATCTGGTACCAAGTTCTCCTGAAGTCTACATGGGAGGTAATGTAGTTCTTAAACTCATAATAAATGAGCTTAGTAAAGGCATCAAGAAGTGGCAATAGGATTTCTCTGAAGCACAGGAGACAAAAAAAGAAAAAAAAAAAAAAAAAAAAAGGGGTGCTCTCCTGAATTAATTCTTTATGCCTATGTGTACAGAGCAGACTTGCCCAGTTGGCTTGGCTGAATGTCTTTCCAAGATATTTTTGGCCTCCAGCCTGGTTTTCCTGGGTGCCAAATTCTGCCTGTTCCAGTGGCCCAGAACACATTTAAATATTAGATCTCATGTTGAAAGCAATGTGATTCTCTTGAAAATGTAAAATAACACAACTGAAACTAATGTACATCTTAATGGGCATATTGGGCAGAACACTCCTTCTGAGGAAGTTTTGCCCACACTTGATTTTTCAGACATAATTTAGTGGGAAACCGTGCCTCATTTTGACAAGCACTTAAGAATCAGTTGGTAAAATATTTTGTGTGCTTATTGTAAATTATGTGCTTTAGCTAACTCAAGCTTCTCATGTGCAGAGGGAGCAAGCAGATAAAGAACCATGATGAGTCAGTTTAAAGGTCTATCAAGCCTCACATTCTGTCTCCAATAGAGGGTAATAGCGGAGGCTAGCAAGGAGCAGGGTTAGAAAAGGGCAAGTGTACAGGGATGCACCCTCTGCTATAATGTTGTAGTTTGTAGTCACTCCTAATTTGCAAAGGATAGCATGCAGTGCTATGAAAATTACTTTGTTGCTCACCAGTAGCTGTAAATTTTATAAATCCAGACATTTCAAAGAAAGCTCATGTGTCGTGGTCGTAAAGCAGGACTAGCTTTGTGTTCATTCTGCCTGGCTATCTTCACACAAAAAGTGCAGAGCAGCAGGAATTAGCTATTCAGAATACATCCTCACTACTTGTGTATTGTGTAAATAGGGTTTTTCTTGTAAAAGCCATTTGTAAAATTTTGTGTTTAAAAAGGCAAGGGAAAAAATGGGGCACCCTCTACTTGTGGTGTTGAGAAAAATACAGCTCAAGTGCACAAATAAAGGGTCCTAAATTTGCAAAACGTATAAAGAATAAATAACTGACTGTGAGCCAAGCTGAATCATCGTCTTCTGCTGTACATTCAGCAAGCTCCTATGAACCTCTGTTGCTGCACCCTATTGCCTCTGTAATCAAGGATGGTTACAGCTGAGCTCCAGCACGAAACACAGAGCTGACCTTGACTAGCTGTTGACATTGTTCTGTTTTCTCTGATTGGTTTTAAAATTTAAAATTAAGTATCATTTGTGGGGAGACAGGGAATGCTTTGTTTTTGTATTTAGTGCCATGGGTGGAGAGAGAAGGCAGAGGAAAATGCACAAAACTGCAACAACTGTACAGCTTTTGCTTGTTAAATTGTTATCATAAACATTTCAGGGTGCTTTTCTTTTGGACATAATCTTTCTGCTTGTGCATGCTGGGCATGCATGACCACGGAGCAAGAATGCATTCAAAACTGGATCTCGGCATGTCTCAGCAGGGAAAAAATGAAAAGGAGAGGAAGAGGAGAGAGAGAGAGATTATCAACCAAGAATACTTAATGGCACTTCAGAACAATGTGTAGAGGTCTTTTGTGATAACTGTCCACAGTCTAAAAATGAATCATTGAATGTATGGCACTACAGTTACTGATCACATATTCTGTAGTGAAGAGTACTCATTCTCTCTAGCTATTGTGTTTACTGAAATAGATCCCTCTTGAATCTAACATATTGTTGCAACAGTGATTCAGATATGCGAATCAGTTACAGAAGACTATACTGTACACTGAAATGTTCTGTTTTGTCTTTCTCTCTTAAGCAAAAAGCATACGAGATCTCTCATTTCAAAATGCCTGACCTCTAAAAGCAGTTTACATTGTCCATCATAGAGCACAGCTGCTCATCACACCATCCTGAACGGGGCAAGAAAAATGCAGATTATTTGACAGGAAGGGAAGATAGAGGTGTAATTTCATTGACCTCTGGGCTGTTCTGATTTACATTAGCTGAGGTAATGCCCCTATTATTTTTTGTCACCTTAGGTCCAGTAAGCTGAACAGTATTTTCCACCTTGTACAATGTTGTGAAAATATGCATTCCAACTTTCTCAGGTGTTGGAAAAACAGAACAAAGCTTTGCATGTGACTTTCAGTGAATTTTCTACTCTATTTTAAAGTATGCTTTATCCTGAGGTCCTCTTTCATGTGCTGGGAATTCTCTTCAAGAGAAAAGAATCATGCCAAAAATGGCAAATGTGCAGAAACTAGATTTTTTTTTTTTTTTTTTTTCCTAGAGAAAGAAAAATGATGCATAGGTTTTATTATTACAAGTCATAGCTCAGTTATTTGTTTCACCTCTCTGACAGATAGGCTAGTGCTCAGCAGGAGAAAGTGCTGTAAATAATCAGTTTGCTATTTATACACTGAAATGAGGAAACACATTTATAGGAAACAATAATAATTAGAAAACATTTATAAAAATCTGCTGGGTTGCTATTTGGTTTCTCTGGAGTGAGCAGCTGTAAGAAAGCAAAAACAATCAAATCAGTGCAACTTCAAAGGGGCTGAGAATGGGTTCCATGAGCTCAAATTGTCAATAATAAAAATGTAACAGCTTCCAAGCAAATTAAAGTCTTGATGATGTCCCCATTTAAGTGATTTAGGCTTTTGACTGATTTTAATAACACTTGCCCTAAAAGTTTAAGGTACTTACTTGAACACACGATTGTGTTGCACAAAGAATGTGTCTTAGCTGCCATATTAGAAATATATTATACATATTACACACAAAAAATACATAGCATTTTTTCCTCTTGTCTTGGTTTGCTGCAAGCTTTTCTTCAGTGGTATCCCAAATTTGACCTTGAAATTGGCCTCATCTCTCCCACGCTCTTCTTGTTTAGACACTTTTTGGGGGTTATCATTTCAACTTTGGGAATTTCAACTTGGCATGCAGTGCAAACAACCCTCTGAACCTCCTGGTTTTTTATTAGTGGGCTGTTCAAAAATTGCCTGTTCTCTTCTATTTTGGGGCAGGTTTTGTTAGGCAACAGTGATCTGCTGCAAACTTTTAGAGGTGACAAAAACCCTACAGAAGGCTGCATTCCTTCTTTAGGGGATGAGAGCTCACAGCATTGCAGCACAGCTACTTTTAGATTTTTCCTCCCCTTGATCTACATGAATATCAGGGGGAAGGGAAGCACAACACAGGTCTCAGAGCTGTTCTTAGAGCACTGCACAACTTCTGCATGGTTGTAGCACTCAGGCTGGCTGTCCACTCTGAAGTGTCACCAGAACATGTGAGACTGCTGTAAGCTTGTTGAAGGTAATATCAGAGCTGGAGGAAGCAGGAGAGGCTTGGTACTTTGGGAGTGACAGAACTGATATCCTGAAAGTGACTAGGAGGATTTTACTGCTGGGATTTTATTTCACTCAGGCACCTGATAGTCCCCGTGGGTAAGATGGGGATGCTGCACTGAGGACTAGGCCATACACATGGCCCAGGTAGCATTTCAGGCAATGACTGTGTCTAGTTAGTGAGGTTTTTTTCCTAAAATACTCATGGCCTTTGGAGTAGCTCTCATAAGATGTCTGTGATAATGATAAAGATTGAGATTGGCCTTTGTCTTATAAGTCAGGTCATAAATCTTTCTTCTGGCCATTGCTAAGTTATTATGATATAGCAGAGAGTGATTAATCCAGCTAGTCCAGTAGTATTTTAGATTGAAATTAATGGCACCTTGCCAGTGTGTAAAGACAGCGAGTTGTCGCATTTGATCTGAAGCTCCTACTTGTAAACTATAGCAAATTATGAGAATTACTAATACACAGAAGGTCAGCCTTCAGGATTATCTGAATTAAACTCAGTTCTCGCCACTGGTCTTTTGCTTTCCCCGAGTGCATTACATATATATGCAGAATTTTTTTGTTCAAGTGACTAAAACTATTCTGTTATAAACTTAGTATGTGAAACTGGATTGTAATTTCTAGCAGAATTCCTATATCTGTTTACATTAAAGAAAACCCCTGTGAATAGTTCCTGTTAGATGTAGATGCAGTGATGTTTCCACGAATTAGTATTAACACACATTTAGAGCAGTATTGAATTTTATACACTTAGGTGTCTGGTGTAGAAACTTTGTTGAATAAGAACGGGAAAAAATGTTGAATGGATTAATATTTTTAGTCATGTTTTATAGGGGAGCTATGGACTCCTGTCAACGGGGCTCTCAGAAATACTACTACTACTTAGAAATACTGCTACTACAAGCTTTTAGAAATCATTGGCTGGAAGGAGAACAATTAAAGCATAAAATCAGTTTTGTGTTGTTTTTGGTCTGCTGATGCACCTGTGAGTATTTAGGTGATGATTAATTATGAGTTGTTCCTAACGTTATAAGGAAATATGAGATAAAGAGGTGACGGGAAGAAATGATAATACTACATGAAAGTTAGAAATGACATAGGGAAAATGGTCCAGGACTACTTGATGAGGAAACAGAGGGCACAGGCTACAAATCCGTAACACATCAACTTTGTTAGTTCTGCAGCTGAAGGAAAAACTTACTCCCTTTCCAACAGTATTGTGCCTCTGGAGTGATGAATGAGATCGAACTGCTTGGTGGTTGAACACCAAATAGTGTGAAGCGTATTAATTCCACTGTCAGTTTATGAGTAAGAGAGGTAAAAACACAGGGCAAGTTGGTGACTAAGTCAGGATCCTGATGCTTCCCTTGCGAGGAGCTCCCCCCCCAGCCCTGTGTGTGAGCCTGGGGTGACCATCCTCCTCGGTGGAGTCTCAAAATTAAGCAGTCTGCATGTCCTCTCTTATCTCCCTTCTTAGGCACAAGGAAAACAAACACGAAGTAGAAAGGCCAGGGGCCCCACACTCAACAGTTTCCCTACCCCTTTATGCATAGTGTAAATGCAAAATAAAATCATTGATGGCTCATTCCATGCAAGTGTTATGAAACTGTATCTAATAGAGCCCAGTTAGTATCAGTTGTTTTATATTAATAAAATAATAAGCAGGCCTATGCAGAAGGAGAAGAAATCACACTGCCTTGAGAAGAAAAACTCTAAGACTCATTCCTATCCGCAGGCACAACTGCAGCCAGGAGCATGAGGTGTGTTTAACATGCTGTGTGTATCAGCTTGTGTGAGAACCTCACACACTCTGTGGAATAACCACAGCAGTTGCAGCCTCTTATAATGCAGCTTTTGTGCTGTTTTGTGCTGGTGCTTTAGAGCTCATCAGTAAAGCTGGTCGCCTATTAAATATGACATTAATTTTTTTCATACAAATAATTTGATTTTTACGTTAAAATCTGAGATTTGTGCTTTGTTTTGTCGTTGATTACTATAAAAATGTAGCAAAATGATTGACAAATACTATCTCTTTGTTATACTTTTGAAACTACTGGAGACATATTTTTAGATAATTGAGGAATTTTCTGTGTTTCTAGATTAAGAAAATGCTATGTTCAATTTTTTGCCTCAGCTGCTCACTCGTGAAAGAAAAGGAAATCTAATTTTGTGAGAATCATTCAAAGCATTAATAAACTCAATCTCACTGCATCACTTTGCCTTCAGAATAAATAGTGCAATATCCTTTTATTTATACATACTCTGTGACTTAAAAAGGGAGAAATGACAAAGAAAAATCTGCATGACAAAAGGCTTCTAAACTTGCAGCATTCCCCAAGGCTGTTACAAAGCACTCGATGCAAGCTTTTTTTCTTGTCTGCATCCGACCTGCTTTCAAACCACGTTGCAGCAGTTGTGTGCAACTGAATCCAGACTGCATCATCAGTGCTGTGTCACCACCATGTCGTTGGGCGGTACAACCAGGGAAACAAAACTAAAGAGAAACCAACCTTGACTGGGGGCAAATTCAGCCTGGAACACCTTACTGCCACTCTGCCTTCAACTTCTCTTTGGAGCAGAAAACAGCCCTTCTTTACATTCATTGCCCTTGTGGTTGTACAGTTTTTCTAGGAGGAAAAAAAGCATTTAGGAATGGCTCTTTGAATAAAACTCTTCGGCTCATTCTGTACCTCTTGCAATTGTGGAGCAGTACCATGTTTGGTGCAGGTGCCAAGATGGAGGCTCCTTGATTTTTAGAAGGAAATGCATGCTTTCAAAGTCCCTAAGGTTTTTCCTGAGACTGTTTTGCCTTTTGTTTGATTCTTTGTCTGCCAGTGCACTCAAAGGCTGTTACTTTTTCTTTTTTTCTGTCTTTCTAACAGTATCAAGGACAAAAATAGCGGTGAACTAATTCCCCCGGTAATGAAGGAAACCGTGTCCTACCTAAAAAGAAATGGTGAGTTATGTGTCAAAAAGGGATGTGTATTTTAAACAAAGGCAGCAGTATGTAATCCTCAGTGCCTGATTCAGCAAAGTTTATAGCTGCAATCTCAAAATGAAGGATATATTCAAATCCTGAAAATCTGGGTGGCAATTGAACATTGCCTTGAGGGCTCTGATTGGTAGAGAATAGCTTATTATCAGATTATTGTCTCACTACAAAAAATTAAAAAAAAAAAATTAAAAAAAATATTTTGGAATAGCAAGTGAGAGAGGATGTCTTGTAACAGACATCACCAACCCATATCATATTGTGGTTTTTAAATAAAATTCACAGTAAAAATCAATGAAAACTTCTGTATTTATAGAACTCATTGAAGGAAATGCATTTTGTAGGAGTAAGCCTGAAGTCTTCCCTTCACAAAAGACTCTTACTGGCACTTACAGACCCTTTGACTGCAGGTCATATCTGTGGTTGCAATATATAGGGATAGTTTACAGTAACCTTTATTTAAAATGAGAACATTTAAAATTTATGTTCACAGATCACCTTCACGTACAAGGAAAAGAGGGATGCGCCTTGAACTGCTGTCTATACAGTGGTATCCCTCATGCACCCAACCAACACAATGGAGGAAGGAAGCATCAGATGCTATCTGTAGGGCAAGCATGCTGTGTTTCCAACTTAGGAATGGAGGAGCAGCAGGGAGGAAGGGATAAGGCTGCAGTTCTGACATTCCTTTTTTCTATATAATATGATTACACATTCTGATCCCTGATTTTGAGGGTGGTGAGAGTATTATTTCCATAACTCCTCCTGCTTCAAGGTGTTAGAGTTTCATGAATGTTAATGAATGTTAATGAAATCTTACAGTACCAACTCCAAATATTAGCTGCATTTATGTTACACGTGCAAGAAAAGAAACAGCATAACACAGCTATGTGACTGGTGCAACGCTGCTAAATGCTAAAGCTGGAACTGATTTCTATGATCTCTGAAAGTACAGCGTGAATTTTTAATACATGTGTCAGTAGGGCAAGTGAAGAAAACCAGAATGTTTGGTTCAGGTATTTTTTGTGGGAATGCAGGTGGCATTGTTGGTTGTTTTGTTTCTTTTTTATTGAATGCCACTAGTCTTTAACATGCTTTTAATTTTGATTAATGTTTGAACAAATTTTAAGGATTAACAAGATTTTTCTTAAGACAAAAACCAGGCTCATGGCTCTGTATTTCTGCTATATATAGCAGTTTCATCTGAGGTTTTCCTTGTTTAAAGAAATTATTGACAGCACACAAATAGAGAATACAAATGTTGAGTAAGTTATTGTCTTCCATAGAGAGGTTTACCCCAAACCTACATCCCACAGTATTCCCCGTCCTTAACTGCATTCTTGAGCTCCTAATCTGAACAAGGTACATTTTCCTTTCAGATGTGTTTAAACTTGTTCAAATGTGTTCAGTGTTGATTTCTGTCTATTTTAACTGTTGTCACTAGAGTTTGATTTGAGTTTATTTGAACCTTAAGAGAGAAATATCAAACATTTTTAAAACTTGCACTGAATAGTCTTCACATTTGTGAAAAGAGAGAGGAAGGAATGTGAAGAAAAACATTACTTTTCAGCTGTGTTGCAGATTCCCTTGAGCAATCCTGTCTTCATTTGTATTGGTGCAAGATCAGGCTGGTTTAAATGAGGACAGACTACACAGCATCTTTCCCTCATTGCTGGACTATGCTCCTCCATATTTTAGTTTCTCCTGTAGTAAATAAGAACATTTTATTGTACGTTTTATTTTTGTTTGCTTTTCATACCTTGCATGAAACTTAATGGTATGTATAGGAGATTAAGAGAGAGATCCATTTCAGTGGATACCTGCTTTCAGTTCACATCAGCAGAGCACAGCTTTTGTAGGCTTCCTTGTGTGCAGAACAGCCAGCTGCTAGCTTACTGAAATTGGTGATTTATCTTCAAAATACCTGTACCAACCAAAGGCCAAGAATTGGAGTGGTGCCATTTGTGCTATTCAGGGTATCTACTGATCTGCAGTATGTGAAGAGCCCCCAGAAGAACTTTACTGAAGGCCTCTAGGTCCTAATTCAGCATTACACTAAAGCTCATAAAACTATTCTGATATTCTGGATATGCTGCTTCAGGCACCTTAAAGATGAAAACTTTTCAGATGCAGCTTGTTTCAAATACATTGTTGTTAGATGGGTGGAATGTAAATAGTTCACTACTAAGAATGTTGAAGGCAAGTGACTGGCAGCTTGAGACAATCCCTGTAATTATAATTGTAAATGGATAATTAGAGCACGTGCAGTGGATCAGAGCATGCCTCATCTGCAGATGAAAACCAGGTTTTTTCATGTTTTAGATTGTTATGAAACAATCATACTTACATACATTTAGCTTATCTTAATAGGCAAATACCTCTTACTCAGTAATCCATGGGAGTCAGGAGAGCTAAAACAAGGATGAACATGCACAGATATCACTACTTCTCATAGCTGTTATTACTCAGAGACTGAGTGAAAGTTTAATCATTAAAAATGTCAATTGATTTAAACTTCTGACTGTATAGGGATGGGATACTTTGCTTATCTTACCCTTCCTTCCACCTGTTTAAAGATTTTAAAGGAGTTGTATTTTGCTGGTGACAAAAGTTTCATTAGTAACTTGTTGTTATGACTGAACACAAAAGGTCCATTTCTTGTTATTTTTGATGTTTTTCTTGCTGTTTTGTCTTGTAGCAACTACAACAGTATCAGACACCTCCATCCCACCATTTGTTGGGTCCAGCTTAGTTTTCTGAAGCTACCATTCCTGCTGCACAGAAATTTAAAACAAAAACAAAACAAAAACAAATAATTTAAAAAGAAAAACCACCAAAGTTTCAGCTCATGGTTGTGATTAAAGAGAAGATTTGGCTCAAACTTATCATTGCAGAATGTCTCTGAGATGAAAGCTTGTTATTCTGAAAGCAGTAATCATCCTTGGGTTTTCTCCAAACATCCTCTTTTTTTGGCTAAAACTTCGTTCCATGCAATATCAGCACAGTTTGTGAAGGATAGTCTCTGAGGATATGTGATGGTATTTCTGAACAAAAGTCCTTGTCCTGCTTTGTGCATCTGTGCAAGTTGGTAACACAGCGATGCTGAGCACTGATCTGTAGTTCAGCCTCACGCTTGCTAGCCAGCCAGCCTGACTTTTCCCCATCTTTCTGTCCTTCTGTGTCCCCAGGAAGGAAGGCCATCAGATCTGCCAGCGCTGGCATCTTCCAGCTAAGCATGGGTTTGTTCTGAGCTGACATATTCCCTATCACAAGGAGATGTCCTCTAACCAGATTTCTCAGTTAGGAGACGGCTTGTCAGGTAGAGCATTTGCTGACATTTTCAGCTGGCTGATTCTTGAAAGCCAAGTACCTGCCATGCCGAGGCTGTTAGCAGTAGGTGATAGACATGCATTTTTTTGCACTTGTTTATAAGTGTGCAGGTATCTGTAGTACTTGCTGTCTGCTCTGATTTTAACTCTTTATCTAAATCTGGAGTATCTCAGTTCTGCCATCAGCCTCAGCGTGTGTTGGTTCTGGTGCTGACAGCTCTGCAGGATGACTGGCAGCATTCTTTGCACTCCAGACGCAGCTGTGAGTGCAGTGAAAACTTCAGCTCATCTTCCAGAAGTGGCAGAAATTCACTGTCATTATCTTTTCCATTTGATTTTTGGCATAGTTTCCATCCTCATAGAGTTATCAGCGGTTAGCTTTTGGTTTTGTAGTTGAGAACTTGCTTTATCAAATAGTGTTACTGTGCTCTTTGCATCTGTTGTAGTTTCCATGGAAATAAATAGGATGCATTACTTCAGAGTGACCTATGAAAAAAGTCATCAAATACTGCAAAATCTTAGCAGACAAATTCCTTTGCAGCTCTGATCATCTTCTGGACCAAAACAGAGAAGTTTTCTTCATTTCAAAAGTGAGCTGATGATTTAGTCAGGCCTTAATGGCAAGATCGGTTTAAAACAGCTCATCTATGAGCAGATTTTCCTTGTAACCAGCAAACCGGAGGACTTTCTTCCTTGCTCAACTTCTGAACAACTTGTTCATCTGTCTAGTTCAGGCTTGGCTTGTGCTTACACTAAATAAGATTTTTGTATACTACCTTGTCTCTACTGTGCCTTGAGAAATTACCTTGCTTAATTAAATATTCACTCTCTTGTCAGAACAATTCATAAGTGTTCATAACCTGGTGTCATTCCTTTGGTGGTAATGATCTTGATGCTTTTTGCACAGACCTTTTTCTCGGACAAACCCAATTTATGCCACAGGGCAGTCATTTTTTCTCTGGTTAGTATGTCTCCACATGTCCTCAGCAACCTACCTAGTGCTGAAGTGAGTTGCTGATGGAAGCTGACTCTTCTAACAGGCTGTTTTTGTAAGCAGGAATGTAAGTAACGCCATGCTATGGAGGCTGCACCTTTACATGCCCATGATGCTTGGGGGTATGAGAGTGGTGGCAGCCACAGGTGCTGCCTGCAGCATCCTAGCAGGACAGAGGGGACTCACAGCCATGTGCACTGGGAGCTGTAGGACTCAGATGTGTGCTTTTCCTTTATGCTTAGTTAGGTGTCTCACCAATTCCTTTCATGCCTTTTGCTTACATGTCTTTATGTTCAAGAACAGTTGTTAACATACTCTTTGTTTAAGTGTGTCGTGAGAAATTAAAGGCTTGGTGGTGTGTGGGTTGGTTTGGGGCCTTGTTTAGACCAGTGTTGATACAATTCACTACATTCCCTTAGTTCTTAAACTGAGCCACAGTTTGAAGGGACTAACTGATACACAGTAAATTGAAGATGCATGGCAAAATCCATATTCTGTGAGCAAGCACCCCAACATCTGGAAGTCACAGAACAGTTTTTAAGGGAATTTTTATTTGATTCATTATAAAGGTGGGTATAACCTGTACTGTTCTGATTCTTATGAAGGTGTTAAATAGATTACAAAGGACAGAAACATTCCTA